TCTGCGTTTTACTACAAGTCCACGGTGTACGGACGTGGCAGGTTTTTATACAGCCTTCACGCGAACAGCGATTTATGATAACCCGTACATCTCCAAAAATTGTGCTTCTTTGTGCTGCAAAAGGCATTTGGCTGTGTTGTCTCGTAAAGATATGTCATCCTGGGAAATGTGATGCCGGGCCGAGCCGGTAAGCGAACAGTGAAGCCATGCCGCACTGCGCGTCTCGATTTCCTTGAGAAATAATAATGAGGCGGCGTCCGCCGCATTCTTGTTTCACGGTGCACAGCGACACGATTCTGCGCAGGAAATCTGCAGCGGTGTGAATAAGCTAAAACTAGTACATTTACTTTCTAAACCTTATTCCGCAAACCCACATCATGTTGTATGATTATGGAGACTCATGCCCGTAACCATGACAACGTCAACAACAACAGTATATCTTGGAAGGGTATCAAATATATTACTACTGGAAATATTTGGCTGCAGCAAAAATATCTACTAGAGTGCTCCGGTTTACGTTTTGTATATACTTTAGTAGCAAAAGCCAGTCAAGATCTTACAGCACACACGGTTTTTGGGTTATATTACATTAATTTTTCATAGGAAGCCATTTTATTGAGGAAAGCTGCATTAGCCTAGCAATTTAGCCGATAAAACACCGTATCCAGTAGGAAATCTAGTCCCCGCGAGTACGTAACTGGTTGCTAGGCTCACATAACCTGTAGATAACGTGGTTCTATTGGACAGTTTCCTCCTTAAGTAACGAAGAGAACCAAAATCTCAACACTGTCGCAACTGCCGTCGTCATGACGGCGCCACAATCGGCCTGAAAGCCACACCACTGAAAGCCAAAGTGGGCTTCGAAAAAAGCTGTTGCTGTAAACGCCATACGGAAGAAATCAAAGCCACTGTAAAGCGTTTCGTTCAATTTGCGGGATAAAAACCTCAGGTTTGCACGTCTTCTTCTTAAAAAAGAACGCTTCAAGCTCTTGTAACATTCATTACGCAAGCAGTTTGACAAATCGGTGTGGTACAAACATTGCAGGACACACACGTTGGGGAAAGCAAGCAAAATAGAACGCATTGCTTTCAAATATGTGAGTAGGCAGTCCAAAGAGATTTCTCCCGCAACTGCGGCTACTTTATATAGAAGTGATGAGCTATGCAGGAGGGTTTCGAGAAAAATGATATTTCCAATCAAATCGGACGCAAGATCAATGAGTGAAAAATAAAGAAAGACAGACTCTATGCTCACTTTAAAAAACAAGTCAGAATTGCTATTTGAATGGCATTCTCATACAGAGGGAGGCACCACAGGCGCTGCCTCGGTGGGAAACGGTAGAGGAATATCGTAGCGTGGAAGTAGTGGCATCTGTGACGGCGTTGATGGCAGTCGTCGGTGGGGTACAGCGGAGCTGTGTCGTAGCGTGGTAGTGGTGGCACCCGAGGCGGCGTTGATGGCGGCCGTCGGTGGGGGACGGTGGCGGTGTGTCGTAACGTGGAAGTGGTGGCACCCAGGGCTGAGCTGGTGCCGGCCGTCGGTGAGGGACGGTGGCTTTGTGTTGTAGCGTAGTAGTGGTGGCACGCTAGGCGGAGCTGGTGCCGGCCGTCGGTGGGGGACGACGGAGCTATGTCGTAGCGTGGTAGTGGTGGCGCTCGAGGCGGAGCTGGTGCTGGTCGTCGGTGGGGGACGGTGGCGCTGTGTCGTGGCGTGGTAGTGGTGGCGCCCGAGGCGGCGTAGGTGGCGGCTGTCAGTGGAAGATGATGGCGGTGGCATGCCGTACTGCGAGAGCGGTGGCCTCTGCATAGACACTGGTAGCGGCTGCCATGGGGAGGTGGCGACAGAAGAATGGCGAAAATAAGGAATTGAAACCGTATCAATAACCTTTGTTGACAGTACGTGGATAGAGCACATAGTCACCTTCGTAAAAATCAGATTGTGTGGTACGGCGACCGTCTATACAGTGATGTGAAATGCAGCCGGCTTTGTTGCGCGCCGAGGTGTACTAGTAGTGCGACTCCACCTTGCGTTACAGTGGTGGACTCGAAAGATCCGTTAAAAATTTATCAAGATTTCAGTTAAAACCGTACGTCCACGAAAAGGAGCTGGCACTGCTTCAGCGGGGCATGGCACGCTGGGTGTGGGGAACCTTCAGAGGGGAATGCGATTTGGCTGTCCTGTCCGTACGTTACGCCTTGAAGAACTTGTCAGCGTGCTATTAGCTGCATGATGTTGCAAAGCAACAACGATTTCTTGAGATACAATATGTATTTATGTCTCTATGTATTTATACGTCCATTTTAGAAGCGATCTGTCGAGCCCGTCGTCTCACGCCCACCAGATCATGTGAGCGCTGCCCACCTCCAACGGAGATCAGTCCTTGTGCCGTACCCCCAGGCTTCAGTTGAGCATACCGGCCCCCGAGAGACCGGCGGTTGCCAGGACGTCCCGTTAGCGAACCGTGGGCAGGTTGGAGCCCCGCCCCACCTTTCCCCACCGACGCGTGGTGGCGTGGGAGCGGGCCCGTCAGTACTCTCGGCGATATGGGGGGGGGGGGGGGGGGGGCAGCTGTGTGACGCTGGGCTCCATCTCGCCCGCCAGGAGGTATGGCGCGGTGTGGCAACTGGGTGGCGCGCCCAGTGACGGCCCATGTCTGGGAGTACCTGTCGGAACATTCGCGATAGGCGGACGGCCCAATGAGGACACAACCACTGGTGGCTGCGAAGCAGATCCATGGTGCGGATCCTGCACTTGGCGCCACGACCTAGGCCGCGGTCGGTGCTGTTTTAAGTTCGGGTATAGGGGTCACGGTATGGGGAGGTGGCACGTTGCTTGTCCTCAGACAAGAGCACGACTCAGTTTCCGTCGGTTGACAGGCACCACCGAGCGCAGCAACTGCATAGCATCAGCGCGCGGCCGACAAGCAATTAGACACGCACGCAGCATAACCAAGTCTTCCCTGTGCCACTTCAACACTTGTCCCCGCTCCATTCCTGTGAGGGACGCTGAAAATTCGACAACAAGGCAGGAGCGACGCCAAACGCCTTTTTCAGGAGAGAGCCAGCGGGCCTGATGCCTTCTACTGACGTCCCTGCGGACATATCTTGATACAGATTTCACACTGTTCAGATATAATTTTCTGGTTATTCACAAGTAATTAGAGGATTCACTTAGCCTGCTGGAGTTGATGCGTGCTTTAAAGTGTGCTTGTGTAATGCTGAAAGTGTGCTTTAAGTTCCTCTTTTTAATGTAATCTTGTGCTCTGTCTCAGTCACCTGAGGTGACTGGAACAGGATGAGGTCAGTATGATGAGACGTTCTGAAATTTTAAAGGGGCACGCGCTTAACTCCATAGCAAATAGCAATGACTGTCCCCTAGGTGGCGTCAGGCCTGTAGCAAGGGTCCGACCGGTAGGGTTTGGCCAGGTTAATTTCATGTCTTACCTCTGAGTCTCCATCAGTGTTCTGAAAAGGCATTCGTAAATGATTCCAGCTCAGTGTAGTGCAATGATTCAAGTTCAATGTAGTGTAATCGAAAGAGCGCGTGACTACATTTGCAGCTACAGGACTCCTCGTAACTTGTGATCGCACCCCCCACGTGCGATCTTACACCGCAGGGCACAAGCCCGTCATCATCCTGTAGGTGACACCACCGGCATGCGTTCGCAACTAGTGGGGGAGCATTGTCCCAAACGCAGCTCTAGAATCATTGGAAGTCTTCCCAAGTTGGCTGGTGGTGGTGGGGGCTGGGCTTACAGGTATTTGGGGTTATTTCTTTCCAGTCAACGTCAACAGTGTCAAAATCAAATTTTCAAAAGGTTTAGCTGTGGCAAAAGTCAAAAGCTATGCTGACTGATGCGCCAGAAAGTGGCGTCTAGAAAAAGAGGCAGAAGGGATAAAGGTGACAAAAGGAGACCATATCTGCAAGAAGGCGCTTGAACCACATCTAAAAGTGAGAACTAAACGCAAAGAAACCTAACGAAAAGAGTTCCAGAGTTTCAAAAACCCCAGAGTCTCGAAAGAAAACAAGGAAATGTGAGACAAAACGCAATTAACTATGGTGCAACACACGAGGAGCACATATTGTGCATAGCGTGTGCCTGCACGTTCAAGGACAAAGAGCCCAGTGAAAGATGACTGAATTGCTACGTGTGAATGCGTCAGAGGTAGGCTCTCGGGGAGTGCGCGACCGACGAACCCTGCTTCCTGTGCTGACACCGTGTCCAGGTGCCAGTGGTGGACTCATGGGAGTGCGCGACCGACGAGCCCTGCTTCCTGTGCTAACACCGTGTCCAGGTGCCAATAGTGGACTCATGGGAGTGCGCGACCGACGAGCCCTGCTTCCTGTGCTAACACCGTGTCCAAGTGCCAATAGTGGACTCATGGGAATGCGCTGCCGACGAGCCCTGCTTCCTGTGCTAACACCGTGCCTCAGATGGCACGGATGGCGGAAGAGATCTGCTTTGAGACCCTTGGTTGTTCACCGTATCAAATGACTCAGCTGATATCGATTTGTCGATGTTCTTCAGCCTTGCTTGTTTTGGCGTGACACATCATAAGGAGTAGGTCAGCGTACCCCGTAAACGGAGAAAGTTGCGTCGCTGCATTAGGTTTTCATTCGAACTTTGCAGCAAGCGATGAGGAGATTAAGGTATTGCTATGGGAAAATGATGTCAAAGGGAAAAAAGAAGTTGATTTCACATTCAGCTTGACAAAATTATTGAAAAGATGATTGATACGGCCTTAGATGTAATAAATGATACAATGATGTAAACCAATGTAAACCAATGCAAACCAATGCCATAGACTCCCCAACAGACGCCGGCTATTTTGCTATATAGCTAGCTGGAGAGGCTTGTGGATGATTCCCCATCCATACAGTTTCCCGACCGCATCGCTCAATAATTCTGAAACACTTGTTCTATCTTTATTGCACCAGACGGTGTACGAGCGACGCGGATGAGCTTACATGCCACTATGTATTTGGACACCAGCTAACCTATTTGAAAACGTACTAAGTCTGTTCCACAAGCCGAGCATGCACCACGAAACACTGGTATTAGCTCTCTAAATACGAGAGTGGGATGCGTCCACCGAGTTAAACCGTCCTAATGGCTACGAAAGCCCCAGATGAAGACCATTTACTTAACCATTTACGACACATCATCCTGGCAAACATCTATCTCAGTTTCACATGTCTAACTCGACGTGAGCGTAAAAACCAGCGTGGTTGACAAGAATCTTAAGCCGAAGGCTTATCTCATTACGGAGTGTTATAGTTGAATCTTTGGGCGCAACACTTCCAGTGCATCGCGTGCAGTGGTTTGGCACCGAGGCTAATTCTTCAACGCTTATTGCAGAAAAGTTTACTGTGCGCTCAACTGCATCAGTAGAGAACCTGCAGTATCTAACCATTCCGTCCGTAACAACTCTAACATATCCAAACGCCAAGCTCCAAACCATGCTAAGAAATACAGGTCGAAGTCTCGTTGTCACGCCTGAGAAAGGATCAGGAAAGCATGGTCATGCAATGCTTAGGCGTCATTTCGTTAAGCCGATCTGTCTAATGACACCGCAAACGATGCGCCAGGCGTGAACCGACATATTCTTTGAGTTACGCTGCCAGCAGTGAGTTCTCCGTTTTCACAACGATAAGTCTTGTCTGCATGAACCGCAAGCCTCCGCTTGTGGCGCCACTGGCGTTTGATGGCGAGAAAATCATTCCTGATCGTGAAAGACAAATAAATACACTCGGCACCGCCTCGCTTACCAGGAAACCCCATTCGAAAAGCACTGCGTGCTGCAGGGTGCGTAGAAATTCCTCCAAGCTCCGCCTCTTATGTCACAAACACCTTCGCGACGGAGAATAACACGAGAGCCGGAAACAGATATCACGATTGCTCCCGGCGGCCGGGTCGTCTCTCCATCGCGGTCTCATTCGGCCGTCCGTTCCTAGCCATGTCGCGTCTCGACGTAACGCTCGCGTGTGCTATTGCTTCGGAATCGCTATCAACCCCACGCGTTGGTCCCATGCGGTACCAGCACTTCCACGCGTTCACCCGATCAAACACAAGCGTCATCTCCGTCATCACAGCGCTCACATTCCGCTGACCACACGCTGGCAGCGCCACCTATAACAAACAGATCGCAGCGCTACCTGTACCCCGGCACCACTCGAGGCTCGCAGCGCTCCTCTCGACTCCCCGCCGGGTTCAGTGCCCGTGCTGTTGCGCGTTGGCAAGTGAATGGCCATGAAGAAATTCGTTGAGCGCATACAGACTGGGTGACTCGGCGCAGTTGACTGAGTACCACCAGTCGCAGACGAAGTACTTCTGGTTGAAGATGGTGCCGGGCGGGCAAAGCATCGAATCCTGCCGACCGTCCGGGTGGCAGATGTGGAATACCTGCGACAGGATGGGACGAGTCATCAACTCACCGCAAAGCCAGGCCCAGGTGGATACCCTGATAGACACCCTGTAACGAACGAACCGATGAAAATATAACTGAATGTCATCATTGATAAGGATATATGAGATAACTTAAGAGAGCTCGGGTAACTGGCGAATAACAAAGTCAGCGAATTTGCAAGGTGTTTAAGCGGTATGCTTGCAGCAACCATTAACATATTCATCACAAGATATCAAAAACTAAATACAGGTCTGGTTCTAGCTGAGCCTGTTGAGCAGATTGCAGCCAGTCATCTAAGTTTGAGCATTTGTTTGGCGAAGGCAAAGTCACCACGGCGGGAAAACGTCTCGTAGTTTCTGGTTTGCGTTAATCATTTCCAATTTCTGAAGCAGGCAATGCTTATGATCAGCACCTGCATTATTCGGAGCCTGTTTCGCAAACAATCACTGCTCTTTGCACGTGATCTCAGCTGACTGTGAATGTGATGTTACCCTGACAGGCATTTGACACGCTGTCAGTCCTGAACTTGGCTATCCCATGACAAAGCTGACCGGAACCAGGAGGCGTTCTGCAACGAGATTGGGCCCCCTGACTCGATTGGCCACATCATCACTACCGAACGGTCTGTTCCGAGTCCACCTTGGATGCGAGCCCATTTAATCGGTCAGACATCATCACTATCGACCGGTCTGTTCCGTGTCCATCTTGGCCAGCGGGCCCATTTATATCGGTCAGACATCATCACTACCTAACAGTCTGTTCCGTGTCCATCTTGGCCAGCGGGCCCATTTATATCGGTCAGACATCATCACTACCGAACGGTCTGTTCCGTGTCCATCTTGGCCAGCGGGCCCATTTATATCGGTCAGACATCATCACTATCTAACAGTCTGTTCCGTGTCGATCTTGGTTTGCGGGCCCATTTATATCGGTCAGACATCATCACTACCGAACGGTCTGTTCCGTGTCGATCTTGGCCTGCGGGCCCATTTATATCGGTCAGATATCATCACTACCGAACGGTCTGTTCCGAGTCCACCTTGGCCTGCGAGCCCATTCATATCGGTCAGACATCATCACTACCGAACGGTCTGTTCCGTGTCGATCTTGGCCTGCGGGCCCATTTTCCAAGCAGGGACAAGGCCGGGGCCGCGATTTACATTGGCTGAACCCCTAAGTCAATGTGTTGGTTAGGGGCCCATAGGGCCCAACAGGGATCCTGTGTTGGCAAGAGTCCGAGTTGGCCTAGAGGCAAGGTTCGAGGGGGCCTGAAAGGGGCCTGAAGGGCCCCTCAGACTGAAGATCGAAGACCCGATTGGAAGGCTGAACGGAGCGAAGTGTCCAAAGAGCTGGCTGTAAGTCACATTAGGAATCCCGGCCCATAGAAATGTGGCCCAAAATGCCAGTCAGCGATCCTCTTGCAACGATTGAGGGACCCCTGGGACGACGAGGGTATGCAAATCGTCCACTACCGAACCTTCCACCCCATTTCACCTATGGGCCATAGGTCCATGAAGCCGAACACTGCAGACGGATCAACCAGGAAACCTCTGATGGACCAGGGGAGCCCGCCTCCGTGCTGCCAGAATGGCAGCCGGTAGGTATCCCACGCAGGGATGGAATGAACTTTCAGTCCTGAACCGGGGATGATAAAATGCCCCTGTGTCGTTACCAAGGGGCTTTTCCCGGAAATGATAAGGTTTCTCATCAGTGGTTAATAGGGGGATCGAAACTAGGTCAAAACTGAACGGTCATCCAGTGTTTGTCTGAGAACCTTCTTTGTTCAGAATCAACAAGTGAAACAAATCTTAAAGGCAAGGACAGCGATGGTCAGATTCATAGTTTCCGTAAAGCTGAACAGCGTTGGCCGCTGCAGGTAACACCAGGCGACGGACGCCGGGCGCGCAAAGCTGACCGTCGTAAAAAATACTCACGGAAGTCTTTCAAAATTGATTTGTGCCATTCAGAATATTGGACTAGGACTCATATGCCACCTTGATAATATTGAGATTGTTCTGTGAAAATATTAATAGTCACACCTTCATAAGAAGCAAAGATTCTTCCCGTACTGATCTATTTCCACCACCAAATCCCAGCACCAGTCTGCTGTGCTTTAAATGCTAATCCGTTCCTTCTATGAATCTCAAATTCGTGGAGATGACGCATGTTCATGGCCTTCCTCCAAACTACGAAAGAAAATGCGAAAGCGTTTAAACGCACAGCCTTCAGATTTGTCATTTTCGTCCTTCCGTTGGGGGGAGCATGGTGATAGCTGCGGGGCCAACGCTCAGCAGCCTACGGAGACTGTAACGCTTAGCATCGGGGTTTTATTTGTAGGACGTGCGAGCGCGCATGCTCAGATAAACAGACTCTTTTTACTGCTCGGTGCAGAACGGAAGTTCAACGCCACCAAACGGACGTAGGTTGGCCATGTCAATGCGCATTTTTGATCCCATTTGAATCTATAATTCATGTTCACGGGATCCTCAATATCTGTGTAGAGCCCGTAACAATGCTGGCATAGTTCTGAGCTGTATCGGTTTAGAAGAATCCACGGAACCATTGTAGAATGAACAGCTTTGGCGGTATTTTCTGAACAGCCATTTAATGGCCGCTTTCCTTCGACTTCGAAATATATGCCCCACTGCATTTTCCAGTAGTTTCCTGGCTTCTGTTTCCATAAAATAAGGTAAAACGAAGCGACTTAGAGGTAAAGGATAAGGAAATCGTGTCTTTTCGAAATCAGGCGTGCCGGATCCGGTGATTTATTTGTTTCCCTAGGGAACTTCTCCTTCACCATCAAGGACTATTTGTTAACCCTGTGCCCCCTACCAAGGGTCCGGCTGTGCCCTACCACTCATCGCTTTAATAGAAGCGACTCTTCATTCGGCGATCGTGACAACAGCAAACGATCGGAAAAGCCCAAGTTTTGATGCTAATGTGCGTGTGTGTGCTTCTATTTATCTATCTACCTATCCTTGCCTCTATTTTTCTATCTATTTGTCTATCTATCTATCTGCCTATACAATATATATATATATATATATATATATATATATATATATATATATATGCATATATATAGGCTTTTGAATGTGTGTGTCTGTGTCTGTGTGTATAGGTATGAAAATACATGTGAAGGCATGTGCGCAGAAAAACGAACAACCACTGTGATGGTCCAGCGCCCTGCTCCAGCCACCATCATCATAAAGTCGACACACAACGCTACCCTAAGCACTTCGACCAACGCCACCCACCAGTAAACCCAGCGAAATCCCTGGAAAGTGACAAATGGTCCTCACAGTCTGGTCGGACGCTCTGGCCCAGGAGTTAACGCAGGGGCGGCGTCGAGCGGGAGACGTTAGATCAGCGGCGGCGCCGGGCGGCGCCGGGCGGCACCAGACCGGGCCGGGCCGGACCGGACCGGGCCAGGCCGGAGGCGCAGTTTCTCGTGTCGGCCCGCGCGCCAGGTGCGTGACGAGACGCCGGCCGCCGTCGGCGGCGCCTCACCGGCAGACCTGGACTCCGTTCGCCCGCGTCGGCAGCATGCTCTACAGCGACGGCGACGACTGTGGTGCCGCGCCGTCTGCGCGACCCACGCCGGCGACGGCAGCCGCCCGGGGCCGGTTGCAGCGCACGCGCCAATCGCGGCGTGCGTCACGCTCGGGTGGCAGGAGTGGCGCGGACGCGGCAGACGCGTCACACACGCCCAGATGGCGCGCTTTCTCTCCCATCTCCCACCTTCGTTTTCTCACGTATTTCTGCCTGGTTTCGTATTGCGTCGTTGGTGGCGAACGCGTCGGCGCCGACCGCAAGAGCGGGTACGGATTTCGTGCGGGCTAGCAACCATACTCCATGGCTTACACCGAACGGGGTGGACCAAAAAAACTGCACGAGCTCTGGCACGGGGGAATACAAATTTCCTCTCAGAGAAAATGCATCTGCCGAATACATTCCAGTTTGATGTTTCGGAAAGCGAGCAAACATCCGACTACCTGGAGTGCAATATAGCGTCAGCCCACTCTTATAAGAAAACTGAGTGCTGTCTGTTTCTGAACAATCATACGGGCTAAAGCGTCCCAGCAGCGTAATCGTAACGACCTAGAGCTTAGATAGCTGGTAGGTAGCCCGTCGAGGTCTCTCCAATGTGTCGATCATAAAAAACAAATATTAATCTATTTTCTAGACCAGGCCCACTTTTAAGGAAGCAAATTCGGACGATAGATAACAGGGCAAGGTAAGAAAAAAGAACGACATTTTTAATCAGACGCAGTTGTTACATTTATCACATGATTTTGATGCAAGCCGCACAACTTTCAGAAACGCAACGTGCGCGGTCACGTTCATTTAATACTTTCGGCAGGACCTGCCTGGCCATGCTGGCGCCCTGGAGGTCCATGGCGTAACCGGGATTTAAGCCCGGGTCCCCATATGTGTCTCCGAGGTGCGAACCTCTCACCCACTGCGCCACCAGCAATACGGTCAGGCGCATAGTGTTTTTTGAGAAAATGAGTACTGACAATGACTCACAAATAGCATGTGAGAAATAACTGGGACACGCAAATGACGCGATATATGTAGTTCAGCTGGCAACCATGGTCTTTCTAAAACAGGGGACGGCAACACACAACGTCCGATACAACTGCAGGGAAACTTTATCTCATTCAGCTGAAGCAAAGAGTGCTTTTTCCAGAACCATTACCAGACCCGCAATGACTGCCATTGCAATGGTCACATGATTTCTCCTGTGAACACAAGTTCCTGTGCGAGCGGGTCATGTCACGGAAATAACACAGCTGAGCGCATCTGTCACTAATCTGTGTCGTGGGCGGCCCACAACGCCGTGGACAACCGAGTCATTAGGCTAGCGGTTTGTTAACGAGCCGCAAGCGGCGCCAGGCCTGGTCAGCGCTGTCGACGAGGAGCAGCTTCCCGAGAACTGCCCCGATACCGGGCCTGCTCAGCGCTGCCGACGAGGAGCAGCTTCCCCAGAGCTGCCCCGATACCGGGCCTGCTCAGCGCCGCCGGCTGTGCTTAGAACCCGCCCCCCAATGGTGGCGGCAGCTTCGCGGTCTTTCTGCTCAGCATAGCACCACGGCCAGGGGCGGCCAAGGGTACCAGGTTGAACTGGCCGCCCCTCAAGTCGAGGCGTGGTGACAGAGTCAGAGTGACGCTAAAACTGGGTCTCAGCTCAGGCCTCTCAGCTGCGGAGAGTAAGCGTCGGCTGCCGACCGGCGGCAGCTGGGCGTGGCACCGCCGACAGAGCCCGGCCGCTCCCGACGGCCCCGCCGACAGAGCCCGGCCGCTCCCGACGGGCACGCTGACAGAGCCCGGCCGCTCCCGGCGGGCACGCTGACAGAGCCCGGCCGCTCCCGACGGGCACGCTGACAGAGCCCGGCCGCTCCCGACGGCCCCGCCGACAGAGCCCGGCCGCTCCCGACGGCCCCGCCGACAGAGCCCGGCCGCTCCCGGCGGCCCTGCCGACAGAGCCCGGCCGCTCCCGACGGCCCCGCCGACAGAGCCCGGCCGCTCCCGACGGGCACGCTGACAGAGCCCGGCCGCTCCCGGCGGGCACGCTGACAGAGCCCGGCCGCTCCCGACGGCACCGCCGACAGAGCCCGGCCGCTCCCGACGGGCACGCTGACAGAGCCCGGCCGCTCCCGGCGGGCACGCTGACAGAGCCCGGCCGCTCCCGGCGGGCACGCTGACAGAGCCCGGCCGCTCCCGACGGGCACGCTGACAGAGCCCGGCCGCTCCCGGCGGGCACCGCCGACAGAGCCCGGCCGCCCCCGACGGGCACGCTGACAGAGCCCGGCCGCTCCCGACGGGCACGCTGACAGAGCCCGGCCGCTCCCGGCGGGCACGCTGACAGAGCCCGGCCGCTCCCGACGGGCACGCTGACAGAGCCCGGCCGCTCCCGACGGCACCGCCGACAGAGCCCGGCCGCTCCCGACGGGCACGCTGACAGAGCCCGGCCGCTCCCGGCGGGCACGCTGACAGAGCCCGGCCGCTCCCGACGGGCACGCTGACAGAGCCCGGCCGCTCCCGGCGGGCACCGCCGACAGAGCCCGGCCGCTCCCGACGGGCACGCTGACAGAGCCCGGCCGCTCCCGACGGGCACGCTGACAGAGCCCGGCCGCTCCCGGCGGCCCCGCCGACAGAGCCCGGCCGCTCCCGACGGCACCGCCGACAGAGCCCGGCCGCTCCCGCCGCGGCGACAGTGGCTCTCAGTGGGCCGTGCCTGTCGGTCCACATCGCCGCGGACATTGACCTCGAAGCTGTCCACGTGAGGCGTTTTGCTCGCAGGCCTCGGCGCGTTCCTGCCCACGTCGTATGGTACGGAAATTCCACGCAAGCGTTCAACTTCAAGGATAAGGAGTGAGCTGGCCGACCGGTCGTCGCGTGCACCCGCCCGCCCTTGAAACGAGGCTTACTTGGCTAGACCGAGGCTCAATAGAATTGGACCGATACTCGCTAGACGAGCATCGTACCTAATCACACGTACCTGATGTGCTAACGCGTTGGATCGCCGTGCAGGCAGCTGCGCAGGGTAAGTGCTTACATACCAGATCTACCGAAATATACAACTTAATGAGACGGTCACAAGCAACGAAATACTACCGTGTGTTAAAACTGGACTAATTTAGCATTCAAGGCCAGTGGGCACATCGGTGGCCTGAACGAGCGCGTGAGTAAAGTTCCATCGCAGTCATCACGGCATATCATTTTAACTGAGCCCGTAACCCTCCCCGCTCGCCATACCAGTTACCTGAGCCCGTAACCCTACCCGCCCACCAGAACATGTTTCCGAAGCCCATAACCCTCCCCGCCCGCCAGAACATTACGCTGTGACGCACCTCTCGCTAAACAGCGGGCAGTGGTTCGGCTCGTTAATTCCTGTCGGCACAATGGATAAACAGGACAGCCCCGCGGCGGAACTTTCTCGCCGACTCGCTTTCAGACTGACAAATGGCGCACACCGGGCGGCACTTTTGTCCGGTGCTAGCCGCGCCACAGTTGCCAAAAGTCCCGTGTCAGCATCGCCGTTATTGATGTGACGATTTTCTTCATTAAGGGCTCCTTATTGGAGGGAGGCCTGCTATCGATTGAGATTTACCACGTGTGTTTAAGAAACCGGTGTAGTGTCGAAAGTTTGGACTGGGAGCACACTTGTGACGCTTATTCGCTACGGCGGCAAGGCGTGACGCATGCTTGGTCCTAAAGCTCAACCAGACCGCCTAACGAAACCATCATCAGTGAAAGTCGCAATCAAGCTTTGCCCATTTCATTCGGGAACCCAGAGAGTTCCCTGGCAGGGTTCTTCCAAATAGCTTTCGAGCCGTATCACGCATGATGACACAAAATTTGACACATTATTTTTCAACGATTTTAGGCATCCAGTGAAATCTCGAAGACCGTGAGTTTTAGGGTCATCAGTGGTGACTTTTCGTCGACGTCATGCCGAACGTGTTTGACTGTTAACGCGCCCGATAACGGATGCCTTGTTACAAAGCTGGCCAACGTGGTTAGTTCAGGTCATGCTAGGTTTTAAATGCCAAAGCACGAAACATTTGAGAAACACAAACGCAAGCGCAACCTTTTTCCCCGTTTTGGTCTTCCATGCTCTGATCTGCCATATTTCAAGTCACATCGACCGACCGACGTTTGGTTCAGTTTGACGAACGGCATTCAGCGTCATCTGTTTGTTACACCATCCCGCCTACTGCTCGTAGATGAAGGGTGGAGCCTTTGCAAACCCACATCACAATAACTGCCCTGCTGTGGGCAAATCAGAGAACTCCAGCCTCCAGGTAATCCAGACTCTGCCGACCTTCCAGCCACGGGTTTTGGAAGACAGCAAGTCTTCAACCGCGAGCTGATATTGCAAGCCGTTTTAATGTCACCTCATAACGGGTCTGCACGCCCCACAAAACAAGTTGCCACAATACACTGGTGGAGCTCTGCGCTCGCCGTGTTCTAATGGCTAGCGTTCCAATCACATTTCAATGAAAAGCAAGAATTTTTTTCGTGGTATGCTTTGTTCTCGAAAAGTTCAATATTAACGTATCAGTGGCACCAAGTGGCCTCGTTTCAAGTGGACCGCACCTCAGTCTTCATCCCTCAACCAGCATCCACGGGCCACACACAGTCTACCATCATTCATGTATCACCTTACATCCTATCTCCACGCCCCCAGCCACGAATAAAACCTCCAAGATAGCCTTACACATCCAGTGTCACTTTACTTTTAGTCCTCTCAGTCACTTGACATACAATGGACAGTTAATCGCGTAGCTCTGACTTCCGGTTTTGATGCGTCATTAGGGCAACCGTCTCCGTGGCTACCCTAGGCCTGGCCATCTAGCTCCCCGGCTCCCATCTCACCGTCATCTCACCGTCCGTATCCAGGGCCCGTCAGACCGCCTGTCTCTGGGGCTCATTAGACCGTCCGTCTCCAAGGTTCATCAGACCGTCCGTCTCCAAGGCTCATCAGACCGTCTTTCTCTCGGAACTCATCAGGCCATCTCTATCCATAGCTCATCAGACTGTCCGTCTCCAGGGCTCATCAGACCGTCTGTCTCTAGGCTCATCAGACCGTCCGTCTCCAGGGATCATCAGACCGTCCATCTCCTGGGCTCATCAGACCGTCCGTCTCCAGAGCTCATCAGACCGTCCGTCTCCAGGGCTCGTCAGACCGTCCGTCTCCAGAGCTCATCAGATCTTCCGTCTCCAGGGCTCATCAGACCGTCCGTCTCCAGGGCTCATCAGACCGTCCGTCTCCAGAGCTCATCAGATCGTGCGTCTCCAGGACTCATCAGACCGTCTGTCTCCAGGGCTCGTCAGACCGTCCGTCTCCGGAGCTCATCAGACCGTTCGTCTCCAGGGCTCGTCAGACCGTCCGTCTCCAGAGCTCATCAGATCGTCCGTCTCCAGAGCTCATCAGACCGTTCATCTCCAGGATTCATCAAATCTTCCGTCTCCAGGACTCATCAGACCGTCCGTCTCCAGGGCTCATCACACCGTCCGTCTCCAGGGCTGATCAGACCGTCCGTCTCCGGGGCTGATCAGACCGTCCATCTCCAGAGCTCATCAGATCGTCCGTCTCCAGGGCTCATCAGACCGTCCATCTCCAGGATTAATCAAATCTTCCGTCTCCAGGACTCATCAGACCGTCCGTCTCCAGGGCTCATCAGACCGTTCGTCTCTGGGGCTCATCAGACCGTCGGTCTACAGGGCTCATCAGACCATCCATCTCCAGGATTAATCAAATCTTCCGTCTCCAGGACTCATCAGACCGTCCGTCTCCAGGGCTCATCAGACCGTCCGTCTCCAGGGCTCATCAGACCGTCCGTCTCCAGGGCTCATCAGACCGTCCGTCTCCAGGGCTCATCAGACCGTCAGTCTACAGGGCTCATCAGACCGTTCGTCTCTGGGGCTCATCAGACCGTCGGTCTACAGGGCTCATCAGACCGTTCGTCTCTGGGGCTCATCAGACCGTCCGTCTACAGGGCTCATCAGACCGTTCGTCTCTGGGGCTCATCAGACCGTCGGTCTACAGGGCTCATCAGACCATCCGTCTCCAAGGCTCGTCAGATCGTCCGTCTCCAGGGCTCATCAAATTGTCCGTCTCTGGGGCTCCTCAGATCGTCAATCTCCAGGGCTCATCAGGTCGTCAATCTCCAGGGCTCATTAGACTGTCCGCCTCCGATAGGCGCCATGTTGTCTATGTCTGGGGTTCCATCAGACCACCTGCCTACGGGGCGCAGCAGGCCGTCTGGCCCCGGCTTAACAAACCGTCTGTCTTCAAACTCACCTGACAGCCTGCCTCCACGTCGGCGTAGTAGCCTCCCGTGCGGTATTGCTTCTTGCAGGTAAAACGAGTCAGGGGCACCTGGGTGAGGTTGGGGTAGTCCAATCCTGTGGTGCCTGAGGGGAAGGAACACGGTCGGAATGTGTAAGTCAGCTCTGTAGTACCTGAGGTAAAGCAACACAATCAAGATTCGGCTGGTCCAGTAACCATGGTAACTGTGAGGAAGGCACTGCTGTCAGAGTGGACTCAGTCTGTCTTGTGACACCTGTTGCTTAGAGGACACCGCAGGGTAATGTAGCGCAGTCGGGCTGCCTTGGTCCAGCCCTGCGGTGCCTGAGGGCACGAAACACGGTCCGGCTAGAGCGGTCCAATGTTGCGGTGACCTGAAGAGACCTCGCGGTCAGGATGGGGTGGCATGATTCCGTGGCACCAGGGACACGATACGCGCCGTTATCAGGCTACCGAGGGCTCAGAACAGGAGAAAGCAGCACACATGCCATAACAGCGAGTTAACGACATAAATCAGACTAATGTACCCATTACGGCTCTCACAACAGGTGCATGTCAAATGTAAGCAGAGGTTTGCGTGCATGCTGCGCGACCCTAATACGCTCGGGACGGTGAGGAATGCCCGGTACAGATGCAGTTGACAAGTTCGTAGTTGAATTACATGCTTATGTTATGGGCTGTATTGATGGAAAGTATATAAATCACAAGTGTTGTAATAGATTACAATGGTGCGAGTGGGAAAGATTCTGTGTCCATAATTTGAAGAAATCGAAGGTGAAGCCTTCTTAAAGTAAAGATGAGGTAGAGTTTGCCTAAAATATCTTGTTTCGAGGTAATTACATAGGTTAATATGACAGTTTTCCAAAGCCACTTTTTTTGCTCCCAACCTACCCTTTCTGTTGCAAGGGAACTGTAGAGTTGATCCAGGGAAAGAAACTCATCGCATTTCCAACATGATGACGAAAATATTACCTGCCTTTTACAGGCATGACTTGGGTATAACAGTTCTTGCTATGCGCAGCTTGTGGTGAAGACCATGGTCCATTTTCCCTAGTCAATCAGCTACTTTTCAACGGACAATTTGACCGAAATAATTTTAACGCGCTTCGCAAAGCCGTGACAGGGTTGCCACTGCCACTGACCTGGTTCCGTTACGTTTCAACTTCACTGTTAACTTGCGCTTAATATCCTCCAGGAGCTTTCTCGCCCGATCGAGATGGAGGAAGGGATGCAAACTGCGATTGCTAAAGAGAGAACAATACCAATATATCACTAGAAAAATCTGGTTGTTTTTAAACAATTTTAAGTCGCTTCTTACGCAGTCAAACGACATTGAACGGAACCAGACATGACTGAATAACAAATCCCTGATCATCCATGGTCAAATTCAGCCGGATATAATCCAGCAAGATAAATGGAAGTCTTGGTTTGAATAGCTATCGCGCCAGTGAGTTTCGTATTTCGTTAATCTAAGAAGTAACTCCGGGATATTTCTACTGCTTTGGGTAATAAGCTGGCCAGAAAAAGCCCCTTTTGGTCAATATCCCAAAAGTTTTGGGTAGGTGGCCTTTTGTGAGCCAAACTCATAATTTACCCAAGGTCAGGCCAAGTAATGCAAGGCATTTTAAGATGAAATTTTTGGTACACGGTATGGCATGGCTGTCCGAGTCAGTGACCTACGGTGATCTAGTGTCATTAGTTTGAAGCCATACGTAGAGATGGCTGACAAGTGCTGGAAATGTACGTCCACTCTTTTTAGTTATATTGCCTTTATCAAGAACTAAAGGGTGTTCTCAAGACACACACGGGTCGGGTGGAGACAAGAGGGATTGACGCACCAATAGCGACGTTTCTGTTATGTTTGGCTAAAACGAGCAAAGCATTTATATTCTAAAAATCAGTATTTTCCACGGAATATCCTTGGCAGATTAGTACTACCACTTTTACGCTACATATTTGGATGCAACGCCTTGCTGGAAAAGACCGTCATAATTGCCAGCACGCCCATAGTTCTTGGTTTCCATTGTTAAGAACTAAAACAAGCTGTGTTAGAGCTAAAAGTGTTCAGCATTACTGCATTATGAACATCACTCTTGGCAAAAATAAAGATGACAAATCAGTGATGAGGACATGCAGTAGCTTTTCATAGATTGAACTGGAAACGATTGTTAGCTTTCCCCGATCATTTTAAACGCAAGCCAAACAAGCGCCATTAAAGGGACGCGAAATTAATTCTCACCGCACATAAACCAGGGCTTCTGCCCTTCAGTCTACTTAACAGCAGAGGCAGTGGTGGCAGAGGTCCGTTTTGTTCGGCCATAAGGCAATTTAGCTTACCAGGCTGCCATTGAATGTTGCATTAAAACCGATACATGATGCAGAAACTTGTCAAACAACGACCGCAAACTTGAGCTTCGTGGAAAGATGAATGTATCTCATAACTCATATTTGGGCATGCACCACAGGTGCGACCTGTTCATGGCCCAAATGTCGTGCGGTAATGAAAGAATGAAATGTACGGCGCGTTTACTTCATTATTTGGATTCGCCATATATCATCTAAACCATGAGCACGTCCATGGACGGAGCTGGCGGGGACTGACCTGGCACGCTGCCCCACAAGTTTCCGGCGTGACTGTGGCCCGCTCCACGCTGGCCCGCGTCGTGGACCGCGTGCTCCTCCTGGTGGGCGCGCTGGTCCTCCCAGTATGGGCCCTTCGTCTGGTACTCGGCCCGATACCGGCCGTTGTCGTAGTGCGCACTGTGGTTGGCCGGAGACGCGTGTGAGACCGTCGGGGCCTTGTAGCGCTTCGGGGGTGCGGTATACTCTTTGGTGGGCAAGTCGTACTTCGTGGAGGGAGCTTCATAGCCAGAAGAGGGCTCCCTGTGCTTCGCAAGAGGACCAGTGTATCTTGTTGCGGGGGTTTTGTAATGCTTGGCAGGATGTTCTTCTCGCGCAGGGGGTGCCCTGTATCCCGTGGAGTGGGCGTCGTGCTCTGTAGGTTCTTGATAGGCTGAAGAAGGTGCCTTGTAGCTGGTTAGAACATCGGGGTCCTCGTAAGCCTTGTTGGGTGCACCGTAATCTTCCTGAGGAACTTCATAAGATGTCGTCGGAAGGTCATACTGAGCTGATGGTACTTTGTACTCCGCATCGGGCGACTTGTACACAGATTCTGGTTTTTGGTACGCTTCAGAGGGTTGCTTGTAAGTGGCCTGTTTTTTGTAATCTTGATGTGGTTCCTCGTACGTTTGCACCACTGCCTGATGTTTGTCCTTGGGATAATCGTACGTCTTACTTGGAGCTTTGTACTCGATGCTTGGCAGATCATAGCTTGTGCTAGGTGTTTTGTAACCAGACTGGGAGTCCCCGTATCCATTGGATGTACCGCTATATTCCCTCTCTGGAAGATCATAGAACGGATTTGGCTGCTTGTGCGACACACTTGGCTCCTTGTAAACAGCTTTGGGTTCCTTGTAAGAAGTTTTTGGCCGTTTGTGCCTGGTGTCTGGCAGCCGATGGGACGTGTTGTGCACCATGTAATCGGTCGCTGGCTGATGATACGACTGTTCTGGTAGCCCGTATGACGTCTCGGCTGGTTTGTACGAGTGAGCCACGGCTTCTTGGGGTAGGTCGTAAGTGCGGCTCGGTTCGTGACTAGCTGTTCCGGGGCTTTTAGGTGGAACATACTCCTTCTGCGGGAGATCGTAGAACGGGTTCGGGCCGACAAACGTCTGTCCCTCCTCATGGTATGAGTTTTCCGGCGGATTGTCACTCTGCTTTGGAAGGCTGTACACCAGGCTAAGAGCCTCAGGTGCTTGGTAATTTTGTTCAGGAGCCTCATACACATCACGGGGAGCCTGATATACTTCATCAGGAGCCTGGTATTCGTCTTCAGGAGCCTGATAATCTTCATCCGGAAGCTGATAATTTGTGCTAGGAGCCTCATACTCCTGTCGAGGAGCACCATGGTCAGAGCCGGGCACGTCGTGGCCAGTTTGTGGAGCCCTGTACACCTCCTTCGGTGTCTCATAGCTCTGCTCTGAATTTTGGTAAGAGACCTGTGGTGCGAAATATCCCTGCTGTGGCAAGTCGTAAAGCGGATTAGGTTCCCTGATTCGCTGGGAGGAAGGCTTGCTCTGTTTGCTAGGGTGAATGTGATCGCTTGGGAGCGGCTTTGAATGGCCATTGTGCACACTGTAGCCGTCATCCGGCGCGCTGTACTCCTGAGCGGGCTGAAACGCCTCCCTTGGCGAGTCAGAATGCTGCGGAGGAATGATCAGTTTCACGTCGTAGTGCTTCACCGATTTATACTTGCTCTTTGGCTCCTGGTACTCATTGTTCGGCTTCGGACCAGCCACTGGGGCGTGGTACTCCTCCTCTGGCTCCCCGTATCCCCCCGCGCTGCCATCACCGCCGGGGGGCACGTACTCCTGAACGGGCAGGTCATACGCCTCGGACGGCGTGTCGTACGTGACCTCGGGCGCGGCGTAGTCGTCGTATGGCGCTTGTGGGTGAGTGTCTGGAAGGACGTACCCGGTGGATGGCGCCGCTCCCCCAGGGGAGCCGTAGTAGTACGCCTGCTTGACCGGCGCCTGGTACGCCGGGGTAGGGTAATCGGCGCCCGCTTGCGGAGGACGGTACACTGCGTCGGGGTCCGCGTACGTGGTGGCGCCCAGCGGCGGCCTGTACGTGCTCTCTGGCTGTTGATATTTGATGTGTACCGTCTTCGGTTTCCTGTGTGGTTCCCGGTAAGCGTCTGCAGGGGTGTCGTGTGCCACCCCGGAGGACTTGTGTGACGTTGGAGCGCTGTATTCCTTGTCCGGCAGATCGTAGCGGGTGGAAGGAGGTGTCCCGTAGTCCGTGGTAGGTGAAATGTGATGAGCGCTCTTATGCGGGGCCTGGTGACCGTTATACATTTCAGTCGGCTCGCGGTGGGACGTCAAAAGCGGTTTGTGCGCTTTGTCTGGAGCCTCGTAAGTACGCGGAGGGGGCTGATATTCATTACTTGCTCCTGTTAGATGTTTTCCTGAGTCATGTTCGCTCGCATAAGGTGCTTCGTAATATTCCGACGGAGCGTTATATCCTTCCTTCTGACCGTCGTGTCCCTGACCTGATGCTGCGCTGGGAAGCCCAGGTTGTCGGTATGCCTGATTTGGCGTTTCATACACGGTAGGTGTCTCTCTGTAATTATTTTCTTGCTCTTTATATGCGCTGGCTGGTTTCCTGTAACTCTGTTCCAGGTTTCCATACGCAGTGGACGGTTGTCTGTAATCTTGGTCCGGGGTGCCGTACTCTTCTGACGGTTCTTTGTAGGCATGTGCCGGCACTCGATACTCTTTCGATGGTGCTTTGTAGCTTTGCTCTGCTGCTTTGTAGCCATCCGATGGCTCTTTGTATGCAGACACTGGGGTCTGATACCTACTGGGTGGCTCCTCATATTCTTGCTTGGGACGCTGGTGTTGAACTGTCGGACCTGCCTCATAGTCACGCTGCGGAAGCTCATATGTTCTGGGTGGCTCCCCGTAGTTCTGCAATGGCCGGGTACCTTTCTGCGGAACGCTGCTGGACTCATGTGAGGCCTGGTACCCTTCGTCGGGCGCCCTGTACGTCTGTGCAGTCGGCCGACGCCCACGCTCGGCCTTAGAGTGGTAGGGAGCCTCATAATCTCTGCTTGGCACCAGATAAGAACTCTCGGGAGCCTTGTAATCACGCTGAGGCTTGCGGTACGTCTTTGAGCTATCCTGGTAAACTTTCGCGGGAGGTCTGCGGGAGCCACGAGGGCCCTGGTACTTTGCATCTGGTCTCTGTTGACCTTTGTCGGGAATCTTGTAGTCTGTCGCCGGATGTCTTTTATTTTGCTGAGGAGGCCGGAGCGGCGGAACTTCGTAGCTGTCTGGAGCCTCGTAGTACTCCGACGGCGGCTTATAACCGCCGCTATGTTCTTTTTCTGGCAGCTGGTAATCTGAAGAAGGTGCAATGAGTTTTTTGGAGCCTGATGCATGGCGTTCGTCATAAGATCCACTATGAGATTTCTCCGGAGCTCTGTAACCCGTCGAAAGGGGTTTATAGTTTGTTTTATAATTTTCAGTCTTAGATTTAGAAGTTCTGTGGTCTCGTTCCTGTTCTTTGACTTTTGAGTGAGCCCTGTATCTTTCTTCAGGGAGCTCGTAGTACTGACTAGGAGGTTTGTACTTTTCCTCTGGACCTTTATATTCCCCGTCGGGATCAGCATATTTTGTGTCTGGCGCCTGGTAAACTTCTTTAAGCCCTTTGTGCGACTTTTCCGGTAGCTGGTATCTAGTTGGTGGTGTTTTGTACTTAGTCTCCGGGGCTTGATATGTGGACTCAGGGGCGGTATACCCTGTCTCAGGCGTCTTGTATTCTGATTCTGGAATCTTGTCGTTCCCGACCGGCGCTTGGTAGCCAGTATCGGGGGTTTCATAATTTTCCACAGGATAATCGTACTGTGTCGTTGGATCTTTGTGTTGATTACCGGGTCCAGGGGCAGCGTATTTGGTGCTCGGTGCCTTATATTCGGTCCCTGGAGCATTGTATTCGGTCTCTGGGACACTGTATTTGGTCTCTGGGACAATGTATTTGGTCTCTGGAGCGTTGTAGTCGGTCTCTGGAGCACTGTATTCGGTCTCTGGGACACTGTATTTGGTCTCTGGAGCAACGTATTTGGTCCCTGGACCACTGTATTTGGTCTCTGGAGCAATGTATTCGGTCTCTGGGGCGTTGTAGCCGGTCTCCGGAGCACTGTATTCCTTATTCGGTGTTTGATAAACGTTGGATGGGGCCCTGACGCCCGTGTCGAGTTCCACATAGTTCTTTCCATGCGGTGCGTAGGGCTGTCTTGGCTCCTGAGTGGGTCGGGTGAACCTGTGCACCGGCCGGTATGTCGTCGGCTCTTCGTAACCCTTGTTCACCGCCGAGTACGCGACCTTTGGCGCCTTATAACCATTGATGGCTTTAAACTTCATCTTGCCGCGCTTCGGTCCGTCGTCAGGAACGTTCGTCCCCAGCGACAGGGTCTCCGGCTTCCTGCGCCCACCGCCGCCAATGCTGAAGCTGACGGAGTAGCCGTCCTCATGGAGAGTGACGGGGCTGGCCGTGGTCGAGACCAACTCTCGGAGCGGTGCCAGATAGTGTGTTACCGGTGGCACTGGGCGCTGGGTGGAGCCCGTTATCGGCCGTCGCGACGGGGTGTTCGAACGTTCGCGCTCCTTGTGTGGCCTCGCGCGCTTGGTGGGCTTGGCGATCGGACGCTTCCGCGGCTTGAGCCGGTCGCCAAACCCAAAGTCCTTCCGCACCGGGTCTTTGTAGTCGAGATTGATGAACATGGACGGATGTGGGAACGTAAGGGAGGGAGGGATGTATTCTGTGACCAGTTCCTCCGGAGTTTGCTTAGCTGGTGGTTTGTACGCGGAGGGAGGCCGTCTTGCGTGATGCTTTGGCGTAACCGCAAACTCTTTCGACGGTAAATCGTAAGACTTGGACGGCACTTTGTAGTCTTCTGCACGAGGGCTGTGCTTGAGATGAGGCAGGTCGTACTTGGTTGATGGTTTTTTCACAGACGATGGAGGCCTGCCGCCCTTGACAGGAGCCCGATACTCCTTGTTTGGCAATTCATATAGACCAGAAGGGGTCTGGAATGTTTTCTGACTCCCTTTCGGTGGTACGTAATCTCCCTTGGGTAGTTCGTACGTGCTCGGTGGGGTGTTAACATGGGGCTTGGGTTCACGATATACCTTGTTTGGCAGTTCGTATTGACCGGACGGTGGCTTGTGATCAGCTGCAGAGTCTGTTGTATATTCTTTGCTGGGAGAGTCATATTTCTCGCTTGGAGGGAGATAATCAACTTGGGTTGTCACATGTTCTAAGATGGGCAGATCATAACTTGTGGAAGGTTCCTTGTAGTCGGGTTTGGGAGATGAGTAGGCTTTGCCTGTAGTTGGTCGTGGTGAAGGATATTGTTTTTCCTCCTCAGGCTTCTGGTACTCTAACGACGGTAGGTCATAAGACGTCGATGGTGGCTGGTATTTACCTGCTTCATCTTTATCTTTGGGTGGCACATAATCTTTCTCTGGCAAGCTGTATGAGGATGGAGGTTCTTTGTAATTGATTTGTGGTGACTTGTTAGGGAGATCATAGTTTCCTGAGGGTGTCCGGTGCTGCTTTCCGTCAGACGCCACAGTGCTCGCCCCTGGAAACACAAAAATTGAGGCAGGACTCTTGATACTAGAGCTCTTTGGTGCTTGCGATTCTTGTGGTGTATGCGGTGTCGATGAGCCATATTTCTTGTTGGGTGGTTCGTATCTGCCATGGGGGATCTTCACCACAGCTTTTGCCGTCGGGCTGACATGCTCCTTGTTAGGCAGATCATACTCTCTCGACGGAGGTTTCACGGTCAGTGAACGCGGAGGCACGTTCTCCTTCTCTGGTGCACTTTTCCCCTTCGAGGGCCTATCCCCTGGCGCCACATAGTGCTTTGGAAGTTCGTACGTCAGCGAGACGGCCTTGACTCGCGGCCTGTGGCCGACCCGCGGCCGCTGCTGCCGTCGGTAGGGTCGCGGCGTGCGCGTCGGGATGGTGGGCCGTAGCGACTTATGCTTGGGGTCGTCCTTGCCCGGGTTGATGCGGTGCAGAAGCGGCAGACGCGGGCGGACCACGCGCGTGCCGCCCGGCCTCGACACTATGTAGCCGGGAGGAGGCAGGGAGCCCCGGCCACCCGGCCGGTTGGTGGGTCGGCCGCCTGCCGGCCGCGATGGCTTCAGGTCGCTGGGGATCTCGTCGTTGAAGGCGACCTGGTGAGGCGGAGGTGCCTTGTTGACCTGGCGCACAATTACAGTGGCCTCATAGATGTCGGCTGGGCTGATGTCCGGGCTGGAGCTGGTGTCCCTGCCGAAGACAGCCGGTTTCAATGAGCATGCAGACTGCGAAGGTTAAATGTATTGCTGAAGGTGAGAGCTGGCTTGAACGAGCGCACGGAAGAAGAGTCCAATTTGGGTATGATAGGTGTTGTACACACATTACACAAAACACTTTTTCATTTTCGGGGTTACAATATGTGTCGTTTGGAAGCTCATATTGGCTGGTCGATGGCTTGCTTATCCACAGCAGGGCTTATTCTTCGATGCAAAGGTCATTCAGCCTCACATCCAGGAGCAGCAGTTGTGTGCTAAGGTCCGTTGATACCCGAGTCGACATTGCGGTACGCAGCTGATACAATGGGTTTTAGCGCCAGGGCGATCTAGCACTGACACTTGAAAACTCATTGACACGATAGACATTGTACCTTTTACCGTCTGCGGCGCACGTAGTCTGTTGGAAGTCTGTGCGTATTGTGAATGGGCCTGGGACTCAGCCCCCAAAATTTTGCCCCTCGTTCCCCGTTCGCAAATTCTGAGAGCCTGCTTCCCTCACGTAAATCCCGGATGCGTCTCCGCATGGTATGGCATGCATGACCTGATAAAATAGAGGAAAGAGAAATCAGTACAGGAGACAGCAGTAGAAGCCAAGCCGGCGCCCTCGGATGCTTGTCAACTGTGTCTCCACCATCGTAGACCCCGACACGCCCAAACGCTGAGTCCCACCTGGGCTTGTAGACGGCCTGCTCGGCGCTGGGGACCGCTAGCGAGTCGTCCGGGCTGACGGCCACCGATACCCGGTTACTCTGGCCGGTGTCCAGGTCGGGCTCGTGCAGGCCCGAGCCTTCACCCAGGCCCAGGATCAGCTCCGTCAGCTCAGCCAGCGACGTGGTCGCGTCCAGACGGACCGTGGTGGCCGCCGGCGCCGCAGCCGTGCTCGTGCGACCGCCGGCCGTCTCGCTGGTGTTGGACGCGGCGGAGGCCGGGCAGAGCGCTAACGGCCAGCACGAGCGCGCAGAGCGCCGCCATGCCCGGCGGCGGCGCGTGCAGCGGCAGCTGCAACAACAGGGACCCATGCGGTGACTGGTGAGGGATGTTGGCAGGTCACAACGCAGAAGCATGAGTGGGGACGAGATGTTTAACTAAACATTCATGCTATTGGCACGTTGTCACTTTATTTGAAATCATGGAATCTGTTTCGTGGTTTCTGAACTTTGCTGTATAATCATATCCTGCGATCACGAGTGGAGGAACAGGCATGGTTAACTGCAAGACATCCCATGACCACAAAGTCGAAAAAATGCTTAACTAAATAGCTGAATGTATTTCGTCCGCAATTCCACAGTCACGAAGATCCACAACAGGCTTGTGTCGGGAAGGATGGTTCTCCATCCAAGAAGACTATTCAAATCTCCTCGCCAGTCGAGCCAACCGAGGAAAACCAGCATTCGCCCCAGACCTTCGCAAGAGTGCAGCCAGGCTGTCTGGCTCGTGGCTACCTGTCGGCAGCTGCTCTGATACCGCTCGTTAACGCCTACCACGGGTTTCACCGGCGCTCGCTGCCAATCCAGAGCAATTCGGCCGCCGGTAGAGTGGTGAGCGGGGGGAGGGGGATTTCGCGGGCGAGCGGCGACAAAGGCGGCGGCAGGGAGTGAATGTGGCGCGCCGCGTCATCTGGTCGTCGTCGCGTGGTGGCGACAGCGCCCACTCAGAGACGCGGAGGTTCAGATCCCCTCGCCTTGTCGATGCGTGGCGCGATATTCTCGAGTCACTGCTACGCAGCGGACGTCCTGGTGCCGGCAGGTCCCGTTGATATTTGCCTATCTTTCTCGCCGTTCTGTTGTATTTTCTCTTAATGATTTTTCCGCTGTTCCTCAATCCGGATCCTCAGCATGCTCAGACAGATCCATTATCCCGTCGTGTGCAGTATGATGTTTTACTTCCATACCCAGCCGTACGAAGCTGATGCATGGCTTGAATGCTCAGCAACGTACCAGCTGTGCTGCATGAGCGGAAGACAAGCATCAAAGGGCAGTTTCCAGTCAGTGCTCATCCTCTACCTCTGCAGATCAGCTGGTAAATTACTGAACATTCGGGCCCATATTTCACAAATATATCAGCTTGCATCACAGAAGCAGCGCACTCTACTCGTTAGTTGCCAGTTTTCTCAAATTATCAGGGAACACAAGCTGTCAACGTTTGGAGTGTAAAGGCTATGTCATCTTACGCAATAACATCGTGGTGAAATGATACCTCAGCACGGCTTATACATCAGTATACCTGATGAAAGGTATTCCCCCAACCCAACTTTGTTTTTGAAACCGTTTTGCACAGACAACATTCTGTGTCGGAACATCCGTTGGCTTCTAGCTCATTCATTAACAATTGGGAGCAACCACTTTGCAAAAAGTGTGGAAACTCATAGGTGAGGTCATTTTTCTCGTAACCTTATTCTTTCTGAAACCGTTGGTACCAGAGCCGGCGATTTAATTGTTTTTACGCATCTGGCTCAAAATATGCAGCTTTTTAAAAAAAATCATGACTATAATCAGAATAAATACGCTTCAGACGCTTCTAAATTCGTGAACATTTAGCTGTATATATATATATATATATATATATATATACAGGTTTAATTATTATGTTTAGAAAGAAATCAGTTTTGAATGGAAAATGTACTCCATTAAAGGCCGAAATTGTCGTAAAATTTCAAGTAAAGGGGAAGATGGTGCTGCCGAGGCAATTGCAGATTACAGTGTTTGACAAGGAGAATTTCTTTCACCAATCCGTCCGCTAACCCTGGGGCTGTGGCAGCACTTAAGGCTTTAACGGTGAGATTTTCTTAACCCGATTCATTTGTTACCCATGCGGCTGTGCCGATACCCGGCCAATAACCACTGTTAACCAGTTAGGCACAGTCGTTACCCACAGGCGTACATTTTTCTAGGCTTTATACATTATGGAACACTCTCATGAATGTTTACATATGTACTTACACCTTTGCATTGGCGATTGAAAATGAAGTGGAAATGGAGCCAGTTATGTCTGGAGCGTCCGGAAGCGAGAAATATAGTTCCATTTGAGTTTGCCGTGGCTTCTAGACAAGGCTTTGGACGGCAAGACTTGTGCGATGGGTTCAGTGTACACGCAACGAGCTATGTTTAGCATGTACTCTGAACACCAAACCACGCATGCAAAGCATTCGGAATGTGTTTTTTTGAAAACAGTTTCCATTTGTCCCGTTTACTCAGCTGGTTTCAGCGTCCACCTTCAAATTCACCCATCTGTGACGGTTTGAATCGCTTTACGCATTTGCCGCCTGCCTTTGACTTGGCGGTCCTGCGGCAAGTGGAAGCAGCCGCGCTTAAGTTCACGTGACGTTGAGGGTGGGGCGGGCCGTGCTGATTATTGTGGCGCATATTGTATTCGCTGCGAAGCTCTGCGGTTAACACGGGATTCTACCACCGGGCGGGAGGATCGGTGTCCTCACAACAAGCGCTGCCTGGCTAGGGGAATGACCCCATAAATCCTCATAATCAAAAAAATATGTCAAAATATTAAAACAAAAATTTTGCTTTCAAAAAATGTACCCAAACATTTTGTGTTGTTTTCTCCATTGCAAAAGTAATGTGCAGTGAGGTAATGATGACGAAAGGATGCGCAAGTAGAGAGGTTGCTTGGTATGTATTTCAGGCATATGTCTGACACTTCGGAAAACTTACCATACTCGTGTTCATATCCGTTTTTTCCCAAAATCTTGGAAAAAAACAAACTGTTACTGTTCCCGATGATTCCATATGAGTACTCACGGGTTTATCCAAACCGTACAATGCATTGTCGAGCACCACTTTTCAGAACCATGAGGACTTTAAAGCGTCTGCGGCCTTCAAAAAATGAACACTAAGAAATTCATCAAAATGCATTTTGCTTGAACAAATTTCTTCATTCTACATGATCTGTTTGCTTCCATCTAAACATATGAAACTTAGAAACGCTTTGCTTGGACCACCAGAAGCATAAACATGAATGATAAGAATGAAAATCTGAACCGAAAGGTAAAAAGAACGCTACGCCGCCAGCATTAAGGTCGGTTGATGAGTGCCATTTGCCTTGTCAACCAGCCACATTAATAGGAGTTACCAAAGCACCTACGACACGTCAAGTTTTTTAATGTTTATTACATGCTTCTCACGGGCCTAGTTATAGGTAGGAACGTTCAAACAAACAGCGGAACATCCCAGGACGCTCTCGAACATAGCATACATAAATACAATACCCGACAACCGAAATCTTAACACACGCCCGGATGGCCGGCTGAATGCCCTTTGTTAGGGTGGGCAGGGGTCAGTTTGACCCCCCCTGAAATCCAAGAAATGAAAAAAATAGAGGCATCAAAATCACAAGGTAGATTATCCTGTGTGTAAGCTCACTTGTGTCAAAATTTGAGGGTCCTATGTCATAACCTTGGAGTTGAACAAGGTCATACAAGGTCAAATTCCAGATTGGTATATAAAGCGCCCCAAACCTCCTCATGCAACCGTTGTGAAGCCATCTACCTATTCTAAGCAAAAGGTCAGTGAGGTCAGTGACCTGGTTTGACCTTTTTAAAGCCAAGGTGGCCAAATATCTACGAGATTGCTACTATTTTGCTATTTGGATGAGCGTCAGGGATTACATT